GTGTGACACAAATCACATCACACCTGTGTGACACAAATCACATCACACCTGTGTGACACAAATCACATCACACCTGTGTGACACAAATCACATGACATCCAGCAGGACAGACTGTAGCAGATGGAGCCAGAATGAAGATGATGGTGGCTGAAACAACTTGTCTCATCAGTTAATTCAACATTTTCAACATTAACATTTTAATTTATACTCATTATTGACTTTATAAGAAGGATTGGGGTGGGGGTGTACACTTTAGAACCCTGTGGCTCAGCCTAGGTTTTTATCCTTAATGGCTTTATTAAGTGTTCATTACTTTTACTTTTGTGCTTTAAGTCATTTTAAAACCAGTACTTTTGTACTTTTACTTGAGTAAAAAGTTTGAGTTGATACTTCTACTTCAATAAAAGTATTTTAAAACATAGTATCCATACTTCTACTTAAGTAATGCATGTGAATACTTTTGACACCTCTGATATGTGTGTGTTTATGCTTGTGTGTGTGTTGGTGTGTGTTTTTGTGTTTGTGTATCACTGTGCTTCTGTGCGTGTCTGTGTGTGTAGGTGTGTGTCTGTGTGTGTTTGTAAATCACTGGACTTGAATCTAAAGCTGGTTGAGTTGTGGTTCAACACCAGTAAAGCTGTTAGCAAAATATCTTACTGGACAGATTTTAGTGAAACTCAAAGTAATTAATAGAAGTTCGTCTACAATTAATAAACGTTTGGAATCGACCTGATTCAAGGTGGCCGATAGATGCAGGAGTTAAATTTTAGATTGTTTGAAACAAGATAAAAAATTTCTATAACACTATTATTGAGTATTTTAACTGTTTAAACTGTTTAAAAAGGATAACTCAAGTTCAGAGCTTTATAGTAACTAAGTACATTTATTTCATTACAGTACTTAAGTAGTTTTCTGAGGATTTGTAATTTTACCAGTTATTTTTTAAACAGCTACTTTTACTTTGTTACATTTTAAAGCTAAAATTCATACTTTTGTTTACTTGAAAATATAACAGTTAGTTACTTGTTACAACATTAAATCTGTTTGAACTCATCATGAAAGATGTTTCGGCTCTAAAAAATGAAGAGTTGAATTTACTCAACAAAGTCATGTCAGCTGGTTCCACTAAGACTGAACAAAGAATAACCACATATTGATCAATTTACTCAACCTGGTTCAGTGAAACCAGTTTAGTTCGGTAAATTCAACAGTTTATTTCTTAGAGTGTGTAAAAGTACTTTTACTTTTACTTCCCCAATTGTTGTGAGCAGTTTTATGACTTTTACTTGAGTAGTTTTCTCATCAGTGAAATTTATTTTTACCAAAATCGTTTTCTGTTCATGTAATTTTACTTTTTTTTACTAATTTTACCATCAACGCTGCTGACAAACTGTCCTGAGTGTTGACACGTCTCCCAGAAATAAAAGTTGTGAAATAAGAAACTCTGTGAGAAAACAGAATGGGCGTCTGCTCTTCCTCTTTTCAAAACTCAAACAGATGAAAATCCTCCTCCCTCTTTCATCATCACACAGGCAGAAACATCAATAACATCTCATAAAACACAAGATTTAATCACTGATTCACTCTGGAACCTGATTCAACATGGCTGCCACAGCTGGGCACCTTTAGCTAATCCAAACTAACTCAAACTCAGCTTATATTGCAGATACTGCTAAAGTGGTAGTAGCTGAGAATCATTCACAAATCATGCTGTGCACTGAGCACAAAATGAGCACTCATGATCTACAGTATTTAACTCAGTCTGTTAGCAAAATATTTCATGAACCACAGGATGGATTTTTACTGTACCTCAGAAAGTAATATTGGGTTCATTGGGCCTCATGCAAGAACTGTTCGTTCTCACAGATTTGTTCTTAAATTGTGCGTACGAGTGATTTAGGAGAATTTGTGACATTCACCAATGTTTTCGTATTCTAAGAATTTTTTCAGATACGAACAAAATTCACG